CGCACTGACAGACTGAAGCAAACAGCCTCAGACTGTAATTTGGGAGATTTCCTAACTCTCCGTCTAACTCCGGGCAGCGTTTGATCAGGTCGGACCTTCGGCCTCGGAGTGACGTCTTTCATGGATAACACCTGGCTGCTGCCTGAGTCATGTTCAAACCAGTCCAACCTCGCGGCCCGGTGCAGCCTGAGCACAGCTGGATACGACGGCTGGTCTGAATCACGGCAAACCCACGCTAGGATTAATCATTACCTGTTCACGGTTAGCCGACGACCACAGGCAGGAAGCGGGTTTTTAATTGTTGGATGCCGGCGTTGAAGGACTTAAAATTTTATTTTCTCAATCACGTTTTTATTATAAGCTCTGCGCTCCTGCACAGCCTCGCCACAATAAACGATTTCACTGAGAATTTTTCTCATCTTGTTGTTTATTGTTCGCTCTGGGCTCTTTTCTCACCGGGTTAAAAATAGGCCGGCCTCTTCTGTAATAACGTGAAACCAACCTCCCAGTTACACATTACATAACAACACTGTCTCTGTGTTTGTGCTTGTCTTTAGTTTTCTCATTTTTGGATGTTTCCGTCTGTCTGTGCCGTCACCAGTTCACAGCGCTCTCTGTTACAGTGGTCAGCGTCAGTACGGCTGCCCGCTCATGGCAAAAACATCATTTATTTACCAAAATTATTAAAGAACACCAACTTTTTTGTTTTTAAAGGAGCAATCCTTTAACTTTAAACATGATTCAAATGAAAAACATTTGTTTGAATTGTTAAAAAGAAAATGTGGGTTATTAAGCAGAGCCCAGAGCCCAGCGGTGTTTTACAGATGAGCTGAATATGAAGCCTTCTCACACCTCACAGGAAGAAGGTTGTGGGTTTGAATCCAGTGGTTGGCTGTGTGTTTTTTCCTGTGTGGCGTTTGTGTCCACACAGGACTATGAGTGTTTCACTCTCTTACTCCTGTGATACTGACGACCTGTTCAGCTCTTCCTTCTCCAATAATAACTGGATAGACCAGGTTCTAAATATCGTCACTGTCATGGTGTCCGAGGAGCTGATGGGATGCCCACGCCCACGGGTGTGGCTGTTAACTCCACACCTGCATCCCATCTCAGGCGATTATCAGGTGGACTATTTGATCCAGCCCAGCCAGCTGCTCCACGCCAGTCCGTTAGTCGTCTCACAGCGGTGACGTACACCCACGGGAAGGCGGTTGTGAAAACCCTCATTTACCTGAACAAACGCT